AGACATGAAAAATGAGATGAACTCGGTCATGAGAAAAACAGGGTGGAAGAGTGTTCCTGGCTGAGGCAACAGCATATGCAAGGGCTCTAAGGTAGGAGCTTGTATTTTTGAAGAACTGAAAGGGGGCTGGTGTGACCGGAGTGTAGAGGTCCAGGAGGAAGATGGCACAAGGTGAGGTGGGACAATCAGGCAAGGGCTGGATCTCCTAGGGATTTGTAGGCAGTGAGAAAGAGTTTGGGTTTTATTCAGCCCACCTCTATTTGCTGCTGAATGCACAGAGTATTAACCTGAGATGCCTGTAGATTTGGTTATGGTTAGACAAGTTGCTTTTCCTGCTTAGTGTACCTTGGAATATTGGATGGATAAAATGAAATGATGTGCTACATGTTTATTAAATGCTGCTTATACACCTACCTACCCAGCCCTCAGCATTTGACCTCCCGTCTGAATGTTTGCATTATCACTTTGAACTTCTGTGTCAGTTGTTTAGAATTTACCATATGCTAAGTTATGATGATGTATCGTTCATAATCTGTTCTACCCAATTAGCTTATTAGCCCTTTGAGAGGAGAGACTTATATATCTTCAGAGCCAGCACACAAATGCTTACATAGTAGGCACATTGATTTTTTTGTTTGTTTGGTTGCTTTTTGTTTTTGAAAATTGAGGGTTTCCTTTATTTAAAAATTTGTCTACTGGTTTTAAAACATTATTATAAGTAATAAATTTATCTACTTTTATATATATTTGAAATTTTTAATCATAGCAAATGGAAAACCAAGTAGGTTGTTTGTAAAACAAGCAAATAAATAAATAACATAGCATAAAGTACAAAGTAAAAGTCCTTTGCTGTATCATAGGGACTGCATAATTTTCGTTTTAATTGATACTGCTAAAACTGCCTTTCTAAGTGGCTATGCAGGTTTACACTTTTGCTGGCAATATCTGTTTCTTGATTCCTCATCAGTGTTTGAGACTGTCAGGCTTTTTAACTTTTCCAAACCTGATTATTGAAAATTGTGTCTAGTCTTACATTTCCCTGATTCCTGGTAAGATTGATCATTATTTCATGTTTATTAACCATTTGCATTTCTCTTCTGTAATCATATCTTTTGTCATTTTTCCTGTTGAATTGTCTTACTGATCGCCCAAACAGTTTATATAGTCTAGATTCAAATCATCTGGTACATATATTGCATTTTCTCCCAATCTCTTTTATTTTTTACCCTTGTTTTAGCTTCTCTTTTGAACTCAACAATAATGCATAGTAGTCCTTCTTCTATTTCAGTCCAGCTAGTTATTTTTTAACTTTTTTTGGTTTTCAGAAATGTGATTTTGCTGTGTTTGCCCAGGTTGCCCTTGAACTCCTGGGCCCAAGCAATTCTTTCATGTACCCAGGATTACAGGAACATACCACAACACCTGCCTAGTCAGTGTTTTATTTTGTTTTGTTTTGTTTTGTTTTGTTTTGTTTTTGAGACAGAGTCTTGCCCCATCACCCAGGCTGGAGTGCAGTGGCGCAATCTCAGTTTACTACAAGCTCCATCTCCCAGGTTCAAGCAATTCTCCTGCCTCAGCCACCCAAGTAGCTGAGATTAAAGGCACCCGGCACCATGCCTGGCTAATTTTTGTATTTTTAGTAGAGACAGGGTTTCACCATGTTGGCTAGGCTGGTCTTGAACTCCTGACCTCAAGTGAGCCACTGCGCCCAGCTGCTAGTCAGTGTTTTTGATGATGATATATCCCATGTGCAGACCAAGATAGTTTTTTAAATTATTGTTATTCTTTTTTTTCTCTTTTATTCACACCTAGTGATCAGGAAATATTTTTTTTCCAACTCCTGAGTGGAATCAGAATAAGATCATTTTCTGATAATTTAAGAAAATGATCATTTTTTTGAACATGATCTATCAGCCTACCAGGAAAATAGTCATCACCATTTACTATCTCAGTCCAGTGGACCCTCTTTGTCTTCTATATTTTTACCTTTTTTTTTTTTTTTTTTTTTGAGACAGGGTCTCGCTCTGTTACCCAAGCTGGAGTGCAGTGGCCCAATCTCGGCTCACTGCAGCCTCCACCCCCCAGGTTCAAACAATTGGCCTGCCTCAGCCTCCTGAGTAGCTAGGATTACAGGCACGCTGTAATTTTTGTACTTTTAGTAGAGACGGGGTTTCACCATCTTGGCCAAGCTGGTCTTGAACTCCTGACTTCGTGATCCACCCGCCTTGGCCTCCCAAAGTGCTGGGATTACAGGCGTAAGCCATTGCGTCTGGCCTATTTTTAAGTTATTTTATAGGCTGGGCATGGTGGCTCATATCTGTAATCCTAACACTTTGGAAGGCTGAGGCAGGTGGATTTATCGAGCCCAGGAGTTCAAGGCCAGCTTGGATAACATAATGAAACCCCATCTCTACAAAAAATAAAAAATTAGCTAGGCACCCCTGTAGCCCAGCTACTCAGGAAGCTGAGGCGGGAGGATTGCTTGAGCTCAGGAGGTCAAGGCTGCAGTGAACTATGATCATGCTACCACACTCTAGCTTGGGCAACAGAGCGAGACCCTGTCTCAAAATAAATAAATGAAAATAAGTATAATTTATCTTTGTTCTTTGGAAGGCTCTAAAAAGAATAAAATTATGAAGTAGCAATCCTCCCAAATAGTAAGGAATTGCTACAAAAAGAAAGTAAAAACCTGGGACAGGTGAGGTAGCTCGCGCCTGTAATCTCAACACTTTGGGATTCCGAGGCAGGAGGGTTGTTTGAGCCCAGGAGTTCAAGGCCAGTCTGGGCAAAATAGTGAGACCCTGTCTCTTGGGAAAAAAAAAAAAAGTTGAAAACTAAAATTGGGTCCACTGGACCCTGAGGTTATACCAAGGACTGAGTTGACCAGAAATATACAATGACTATATTAATGAAACTTTTATTATAGAGTCAACTAAAATGGAAATTACACTTGTTAGTTTTATACTTTTTTTACTAAAGCTTGTAGGAATTTGCCCTATTTTGCATCTTTCTGTTCTACCCTTCACCCTTCACCTTATTTGTGCAGTGTAGATGAAAATGGTAAATTTTCTTTCTTTTTTTTTTTTTTTTTTTTTTAGACAATATCTCACTCTGTCACCCAGGCTGGAGTGCAGTGGCATGATCACAGCTCACTGCAGCCTCAACCTCCTGGGCTTATGGGCTCGTGCTGTACTAGCAGCTCAGACTTCAGAATAGCTGGGACTGCGGGTGTGTGCCAACCTGCCAGGCTAATTTTTAAACATTTTTTTGTAAACACAGGTCTCACTTTGTTGCCCAGGCTGGGCTCAAACTCCTGGGCTCAAGCAATCCTCCCACCTCAGCCTCTCAAAATATTGGAATTACAGGCCTGAGCCACCGTGCCTGGCCATTAACTTCTCCTTGACTGGGGTAGATGCTTCCTCCTGTTCATTTTATTTGTAGGAGCCCTGCTTTGTCTCATGTCTCTTCTCCAAACCTCTTTTCTCTATCAGAGCCCTTGATAGAGTTCACTGTTGAAGTAAAGTGAATCTCACAGAGCACAGGGCACTGCCAGCGTCCTAGTTGGGAAGAATCTCTAAGAGGCATGCATGCCAAGCACAGTGTCATTGTGTGCAGGCATTGTAGGAGTCTGCCAAACCCAAGGGTAGGCTGCCAGTACAAATGCCACGTTGACATGACATTTACAAGTTTAGAATTTGGAAAAGGACTGGCAGTGGAACACCTTCAGCTACCTCATTCAGGATGGCAGTAACTAGGCCAACTTTTGATTTTCAGACTCAGAAATCAGAGTGAGGAAGTAATACTCCATACAGAATTTAAAACTATCACTACAACTTTTTCTAGGAAATGACAAATCCTGTTAGTCTGTTCCTGGGATGCATGATAAACCGTAATGGTTAAGAGTGTAGACTCCGGAGTCAAACCTGGATTTGAATGAGGCCTCTGTCACTTACTGTGTAACCCTGTGCAAGTTGAAGCCCTAGTTTCCCTTTTATAAAATAGGGATAATAATACCACTTCCTCATAGAATTATCAAATGGATTAAATCATATATATATTTATTTATTTTTTAATTTTTGTTGAGATGGAGTCTCGCTCTGTTGCCCATGCTAGAGTGCAGTGGCATGATCTCGGTTCACTGCAACCTCTACTTCCCGGGTTCAAGCAATTCTCCTGCCTCAGCCTCTCAAGTAGCTGGGATTACAGGCATATGCCACCATGCCCGGCTAATTTTTTTGTATTTATTAATTTAATAGAGACAGAGTTTCACCATGTTGGTCAGGCTGGTCTCGAACTCCTGGTCTCAAATGATCTGCTTGCCTCGGCCTCTGAAAGTGCTGGAATTACAGGCGTGAGCCACTGTGCCCGGCCGATAATATATTTAAAATATAAGCACTTTTCACATTCTTCAGAAATTGATGAGAAATTTAGGTTTTCACTTCTCATGTTTCAGTAATAAATAGATATATTATAATTTACCAGGGACATGTTGTCACAATATGAACTTGTGTGTAGACGCTTTCCTTGACTTAGACAATACTGGAACACTATGCACAGGCACCCAGGATGTAGTTTTCTTCCCCTCTCCAGGAAAACTTACAGCTGGAGTCCAGGTCATTTGAGTACTTGGCATCTCTACAGTTTCTTAGATGCAGAAACCATTTTGGTGTTAAGAATTCGTTTCAGCAATAGCAGTCCTTTGATTGACGTGGAATTTTTATATGGCACATTCTAATGCAAAATGAAGACCTAGGGCTCTTCTGAAGGATATACTGTAGCTTATTAGGGACAATAATAAATTTTCATTTAGGTGACAAGGTACTCGGCCTTGATTAAGTCTTTTATCATGATCTAGTACCTAAGTAATAGACTTTTCTGTGCCACTTGAATAAAATATAATCCTTACTGCAGATCTTAGTTTATTTCTTTTAATTACATTTAGTACCATTAGTAAATTCTCCCAAGTGATAAAATTCTCTTTTTTAACCCTTGTTTTTCAGATCTTCAAAGCTGCTGCGGGCATTCTATGTCCCTTTCCTGTCAGATCAGTATACAGTGTATGTAAACTACACCATCCTCAAACCCCGGAAAGCAAAGCAAATCAGGAAGAAAAGTGGAGGTTAGCAACACACCTGTGGCCCCAAAGGACAACGGTCTTGTTAACTAGTGATTCCAGTGACCTGACTCCCTGCAAGTCATCGCCTGTAACTTTTGTAATAAAGGTCTTCTGACACGAATGCTGGAATCTGGGTGCTCTGGGCTAGTCAAAGTCTATTTCAAACTCTAGTCAAAAATCACATTTGCTCCTTTTGTGTCACGTCTCTGTTCTGCATGTAAACTTTTTGCAGCTAGGCAGAGAAAGGCCCTAAAGCACAGATAGATATATTGCTCCATATCTCATTGTTTTTCCTCTGTTCAATTATTTACTAGACCGGAGAAGAGCAGAACCAACTTACAGGAAGAATTGAAAATCCTGGGACTGGATGGCTGTGTTAAGCTGTTCTCCACACTCTGGCCTGGCATCTGAGAACTAGCAAGCCTCTCTTAGGCCATATGGGCTTCTCCACCAAAGCTGTTTGGCAGCTCCTAGCAGACCTTCTTGTTCAAATCCTCGTGCTGAAAATGAACATAGCCTAGTTGCCAGCCCACATGTCCTTTTCACCTCCAGCAAGACTAAGCTTCTTTAAAGCACTTCACAGGACTAGGACCCTGTCCTGGAATTATCTCAGGAAAAAGGCGACCATTTGAGGAACTGTGACCTAATTTTATTATAATGATGCCTCTAATTTTCATTTCCTTTACAACCCACTGTAACTATATGGTTGTATTGTTTTTTTGTTTAGTTTTAGCATGCTATGTTTTGAATTCTAGACTCCTCCGTGTGAAGATATCAACAGACAAAACTACAACTGTATAGGACATATTTGGAGAAAATTTTATCAATTGATAGACTTGGATGACATCACATTTTTAAGTAATGTAATCTGAGGCCACTGCTGAGGAAATGAAGAATTTTCCTTTTTTTTTTAACCACCCCCAGTGAAAAGGACCAGTGTATATAGCACCTGTTTTTTAGTTCTGTCTGTTGTGAGGCACATCCTGCATGGGGCACTTCTAGTCAAATAGGCAATTATAAGGACCTAATTAAAATGTAATAAGTATATACTATTACTTTAAAAGCCTTTACTGTCAGTACTTCAGTTTACAAGGCACTTTCACAGCATCTCATTTGATCCTCACAGTCACAACATGTGGTAGACAAGGCAGGTGATTTTTATCCCCATTTTACAGAAAAGGAAACAGGCTGGGGTGGGGAGTGAGGGGAGGTAAACATAGTTGCCTGAGGTCACACAGCCAGTAAGTAAGAGAGCTGGGACTGGAACCTAGGTTTCCTTACTCTCTCTCATCTGTTGCTCCTCCATATTCCTCACTCAACCATGAAAACATTACTCGAAAGGACTGATGAGGTTAACCAGAGACCCAACTGATACTGTAACTTTCTATTTTAAGGAAGAATTGTATCTATTTCTTTGAGTTCTTTGGAGCCTCCAGTCTGCCTGTATGTTAGACTAGCACAGCAGTGCTGTGTGATGCAGCCTGACCTGTGGCAGGAAAGTAGTGCTTCTGTTTGGAAGTCGTCTTCTTTTGCAGCCACACAGGATCCAAATATTAGTACTATTCCTGTAGTCAATCTGGGGTCACATTATAGGTGCCTTATTTCCCTAAGGGTAACTGATCTGAATATCTGCAAATAGGATGAATCTATTTTTCACAAGTTCCATCTTTCATTTTTCTTTTTTTCTTTTCTTTTTTTTTTTTTTTTCTTTTGAGGTGGAGTCTCATTCTGTCGCCCAGGCTGGAGTGCAGTGGCGTGATCTCGGCTCACTGCAACCTCTGCCTCCCAGGTTGAAGCAATTCTTATGTCTCCCAAGTAGCTGGGATTACAGGCATGAACCATCACGCCCAGCTAATTTATGTATTTTTAGTAGAGTTGGGGTTTCACCATGTTGGCCAGGGTGGTCTTGGACTCCTGACCTCAGGTGATCCACCCACCTTAGCCTCCCAAAGTGCTGGGATTACAGGCATGAGCCACTGCACCCAGCCCCATCTTTCATTTTCAAAGAGGAGGGCATTCTAATAGGAACTGATGCCAAGAGAGAAGAAAAGAAGTGATAACAGAAGAAATGGCTAGTTACAATATTAAAAAGCTCCTTTTTGAGATCTGCTCTGCAGGAATATCAGAGACAGAGTTGAAGCACTGGAGAGGTAATAGGTCTAGACAGTACAGAACAATAACTGGGGAGTGTGTAAAGATAGACTGGGCTCCTCCTTGCTTGAAAGATCTCTAGTATTTAATTCTCAATACTTGATTACTATTTTCCAGTGTAAAACTGGCACATATGATCTGACTGTAGGACAGAGAATTATAAGTGAAACATTTGCCTTACAGTGATAATGTGCTGTTCTTCACAGTAGCTAAGGCCCTCTATGTTTCGCAGAGGTAAATAAGAATCCAGGAATGGAGGTCCATCTATGATGAATGGCTTTTTTCTAATCAAAGTAGTATAATGCTGGTCTGTTTTATCATCTTGCTTGTTTTGTTTTTTTTTTAAACAACACCTTAATTATAATATAGCACAAACAAAGGCCAGGACTGATGCAGGGATTCCTTGGAAATAGCAGTTCCTAACACTTTTAAAACCTGATTTTGGATCTCACTGTTCTATGTATGTCTTTAGTGAGAGCACAATAAATGGCAGGACACTGTGCCAAATGTTATAGGTAAGGAATATAGAAATGAATGTTTTTTGTTGTGAAGGTGTTTCCATGTGATATAAACACGTTTTTAAAAATCTCCATCACTTTGTAATATAGGAAGGATAGCTTTGCCTGGGAAAACCAGTTTCAAAACACCTGCTCAGAGTAGCATTTCTCCCTCAGAAAATCAGTGTTCCGCCTACACTGACTGTTCTGCTTGCCATAAGGAGGAAGCATGCAAGATACTTATTTCTCCATAGATTATGGAGTATAGAGGGATGTGGGACTACAGATAATTTTTTTTTGTTTTTTTTGCGAGACAGAGCCTTGCTCTGTCACCCAGGTTGGAGTGCGGTGGCGCGACCTCAGCTCACTGCAACCTCTGTCTCCCAGGTTCAAGCAATTCTCCTGCCCCAGCCTCCCGAGTAGCTGGGATTACAGGCATGCACCACCGCGCTCAGCTAATTTTTCTATTTTTAGTAGAGGTGGGCTTTTACCTTGTTGGCCAGGCTGGTCTCAAACTCCTGACCTCGTGATCCTCCCGTCTTGGCCTCCTGAAGTGCTAGGATTACAGGCGTGAGCCACCGCGCCCGGCCCAGATGACTTTTAGTAGCCTTTGATCATGGGGTGAGTGAGGAAGTAGGTATACTTGGCAAATGCATGGTTCTGTGATTTCTAGCTCTAAAGCAGCCTTATCTGAATCCCCAAATCTTGTGATGCTGAGTACCATTACTGAACCAGTCTGCACGGTAGGCATCTATTACCAAAATTTACTTCCTATCTGGTAGGTGTCATCTGATAAGAAAGAAGACAGGTTATTTTAATCTTTTGAGATAATCACAGAAAATTACAGCCCATACTCTTTATTACCGAATTCAAGTTTGGAAATAGGCCCTTTGTTTTAAATCATGATGGGTCTTTATCCCAACCATTTATCTAGGTCATTTTTCCAACTTTGGAGTTCTAGGAAAGAACCTTGAAAACCCGATACGATTCTGCAGCGTGAGGTCTAGGGTGACCATTTGGGCAAAGCTCCAACGGCAATCATTTATTGTGTTTTGCATTTCCTGGGATTTATTGAAATAAGAATTCACTGTGATTATGTAGTCTTCTGGCCAGTATCAGGCAGCTCTGCTTTTAATTTGGTTAATTTTATTTTATCTGAAGAGGGAGGATAGGCACAATTTAATCTTGGCCTCCACAAGCATATTAAAGCTCATGTGTTAATCAGTGCATTCTTATGCTCCTACATTAAATGCCTTGGGTAAATGGATAAATGGACTTGTGCCCAGCTTTAATTTTTTTTTTTTTTTTTTGCAGCAGAAAGATCAGACTTCCATACGGCATTGTTGGATTTCAGAGGCTTTCTGGTGTATCTGTAAATCTGAATGTTGCCGTTACTTCTGCCAGTCTGTATAACCATGTGATTCATGCTGCAAATGAAATCAGGAAGCAGTGAAGTGTTAAAGCAAGACTATTATCCAATTCGCTTGTCTTCCTGATCCTTGTACTTTATTTCACGTGTCAGTGTTTACATTACATACTTATATTTCCTGTTAAAAAGTTAAATAAATTGTAGCAGTTTGATTTTCTTTTTCTTAATGTGACGTTTTCTTTTGTGCTGTTAAATCTTTCTTGGAAAGTGGAAATTGAAGGAGCTCAACTCCTTCTTTCTCCCTGACTCCAGCCCTATTCCTCGGTATGGAGACCTGCCTTCTACAGGCCAAATATCCCAGAATGTTTATTCTAAAAACTTTAGAAGACTTCAGGAAACCCAGTGAAGATTAGTTTTATTTTACCTATGTTAAAACCACGCACAGTAGGGATTACTCAATATGTGGGCCAGGCGCGGTAGCTCACGCCTGTAATCACAGCACTCTGGGAGGCCGAGGCAGGTGGATCATTTGAGGTCAGGAGTTCGAGATCAGCCTGACCAACGTGGTGAAACCATGTCTCTACTAAAAATACAAAAGAGCTGGGCGTAGTGGCGCATGCCTGTAATCCCAGCTACTTGGGAGGCTGAGGCAGGAGAATCGCTTGAACCTGGAAGGTGGAGGTTGCAGTGAGCCAAGATTGCACCATTCCACTCCAGCCTGAGCAGCAAGAGTGAGACTCCGTCTCAAAAAAATAATAATAAATGAATACAAATTAAAAAGAATTACTCAGTATATGAACATTGTACCTAAAAGAGGTGAAGTTCCTGGATCCATCTTAAGTTTTTGGAATGAGAATCACTGGACTGTGAGAGTCTAATTTTCTTAGAAATCTTGATCCAGTTATATCTAACACTTAGGTAATTTCCCCATTTGCTGGGGTTGTCAGAAGGAATAATTTTTTAAAATTTTTTCTTGTTTTATATTTTAGAAATGGCATGTGTTATATTGTCCAGGCTGGCCTTGAACAACAAACAGTCCTCCTGCCTCAACCTCTTGAGTAGCTAGGACTACAGGCATGCACCACTGCACCCAGCTGGAATAAATATTTTTTTGTAAATTAATTCCTAGTGTCCTTGCTATGCCATCGGCTTTATACCCTATAACTTCTAGCAGCTATCTGGTGTTGTGCCATTGGTTATCATTCTTCTTCCCATAGGACCCCAGATGCCCTTAACTTGGTTTGATTTATTTCTCCCAAATTGTTTGAAGAAACGATGCTTTTATTAGTATAATTCCAGGAAGAAGTCCACAACCTTAATTTCTTTTCCCTTGTCTAGAATGTCATCTTTCTCCCTGTTTGTTACTCTTACTTTTAAGGCTGAGTCTCCTTTTTCTAAGAAGGCTTTCTATACTTCAGACTCTTTGATTACATTCTTTTCTGAGCCTTCTTGATTACCCAGTGTCCTTACTAATGGCGTAGAACCTTAACATATAAACCATGCAACCCTGTCTCACAAGGACATTGTTGGCATATGAGGGGCAAAGACCACATCACACTGCTATGTATTTCCGGTGCTCAGCATGGTTCCCCGAACATTTTGGTACTGTACATGTTTATTGACAATGAAGAAAGAAAAACAAAAAGAGACCTGGGACTAATGTACCAACTGTTGCTCTCAACTTGGCATGGATTAAACCATAGAAAATATGACAAGTTGGCCGGACATGGTGGCTCATGCTTGTAATTCCAACACTTTGGGAGGCTGAGGTGGGTGGGATCACTTGAGGTCGAGAGTTCAAGACCAGCCTGACCTACATGGTGAAACCCCCATCTCTACAAAAATACAAAAATTAGCCAGACATGATGGTGGGTGCCTGTAATCCCAGCTACTCGGGAGGCTGAGACAGGAGAATCGCTTGAACCCATGAGGTGGAGTTTGCAGTGAGCCAAGATCATGCCATTGCATTCCAACCTGGGTGACAGAGCAAGACTCTGTCTCAAAAAAAAAAAAAAAAAGTAAAATAATAAATTCTGCCTGTAGTACTCAGAAAGGGCAATTTGGAAGATATGAATGTGTATATTTCGCCAATTCTCCTGAAATACAAGGGCTTCTTCACAAAAGCATTTTAGAAAGGTAGCTTCTAAAAAGACAGGGTACCTTTACTGAATATTCCTATTATGACTTGCTTTTAGAGGGTCGGACCTAGCCCAGGAGACCTTCTGAACAAATTTGGGTCAGAAAGCCTCTCCTCCAGGTGTGAGGAGGTGCTGGGGACTCTACCAGCTACATGTCCTGCTAGGAAAAGGAAGTCTGACTGCAAGATGACCGTATTAAATACATTAGATTGAATAATACTAAGTAGCAAGGGATATTTTAAAACTGAAACTGTTTTGGCTCTCTTCAGCTGTAGATTCAGCATTTAAACAAATGATAACCAACACATGTGAGAAATATAATGTGGGAAATTTAGATTAGGGATGTGAGATTATGGAATTACAGTGACAAGGAAAGACTGGGAATTTCCAGTTGTAGGCTGGTAGAATAAATAGTCTGTTAAAATTAACAATTGGGTTTAAATAACATTTTACTTGAGTATGAGCTTTTTTTTCCTTTTTTTCAGTGAATTCTCATAAAATACTTTAGGTGGTAGGGCTCTTTGTTTGTTTTTGGTTTTGCCTCAGGTTTCTGGGCTTGAGATGCCTAGAGATGAAAGTATTTAAGTTGGCTGGATGAGGGGGCTCACACCTGTAATCCCAGCACTTTGGGAGGGTGGAGGATCGTTTGAGGCCAGGAGTTTGAAATCAGCCTAGGCAATAAAGTTTGACCCCACCCCACCTCTATATTTTAAAAATATACATATATAATTAAAAGAAAGAAAAGTATATAAATGAGGCAACTTCTTGGTGGTCCCAATAGCCAAAAGATTGGGTGATTTATGACAAAATTCCTCTGACAAGGGTGTTTTGCAGACCTTCAGCCATGGATTTCAGACATACTTACCTTACAAGAGCTCTTTTGACCTTCACTCTTGCACAAACTGTATATGGCAAGTGGTGCCCTTGGCCTTTGACTGATCATTTTAACTTGGGAATTGCAATTGCCAAATGAGAAGGGCGTACGTTTTTGGTTGGTTGGTTAGCTGCTTCAACAGCCTAGTATCCAATGCTGAAGAAGCTGTGACCTGTAAAGCAGCAGTTCTCCAATGGAGCTACACGAGACGGAACCTGGGATCATTTAAAAGTTTGCCACTATTGACAGGGCACGGTGGCTCACACCTGGAATCTCAGCACTTTGGGAGGCCGTGGCAGGCGGATCACCTGAGGTCGGGAGTTCAAGACTAGCCTGACCAACATGGAGAAACCCAATCTCTACTAAAAATACAAAATTAGGCATGGTGGCGCATGCCTGTAATCTCAGATACTCGGGAGGCTGAGGCAGGAGAATCTCTTGAACCTGGGAGGCGGAGGTTGCGGTGAACCAAGGTAGCATCATTACACTCTAACCTGGGCAACAAGAACGAAACTCTGTCTCAAAAAACAGAAAAGAAAAGAAAATTGCCAGCATCTGGTTGACCACCCAGGAATTCTGAGTGTGTGGTCGAGGGTGGGCCCAGGCATCGTTATGTTTGTTTTTTAACTCTCCAGGTGATTTAGCTAATCGGTAGCTAGAGTTGAATACCACTGCTCTGGGTAAAGTCTGACAGACCAACAATCATGCCAAAAAATCAAAGGTAATTAAGCAGACAGAATGTTTGGTGTCCTTTTCTAATTGTGACTTCTGATTACCCAGGCCTTCATCTAGGCCTCTTTCCCACCACAGACGCATTTCTCTGTCTACTGCAGCCCATCAAACCTTACCTGCCCTCTCTCCCATTCCCTCTGGACCCTGCTTTCTGGGAAACAATTAACTAATATGATACTGAAGTACGCTAATGGATGTTAATAATTAACTGTAGTTCTCTTCCCATTGATCCTCTCACCTCAGTACAGTGAATGACAACTCATCCGGAAAAAGAATGAATGACTATAATTTTGGCAATTGCAGACCTATTCAGCGTCATTTGATTGAATGATTGATCAAGTGGTAGAAGAGGGCTCGAGCAAGCCGACCTGCCCTTCAGGAAGACTGCCTGGTCTTCAAATTCAACCTTATTGCTTGATACTAATTGGCCTGCTCAGGTAAGGACTTATGGCTGCCTTGAGTAGAACAATGGGAAAGAAGAAAAAAAAAAAAAAGCGTGTGACTATTAAGCCCTTCTACTCAACGCACTGGAGGAGCCTGCTTTGTTTGGCTTTAAAATATAATTAGCTCTGTTTATTTGACAGAAGCACAGTAAAGACCCTATTTTACCTTTGTTAGTCTGCTTCTGGTCTTTGCAGAGAGAGCTTCTCTTGAGCAGCTGCCACTGCCCTCAGACATGAGAGCAAAGGTTAATCTCATTTTGAGAGAAATGACCTGAAATGTGTTCACTCAACCAACCAAGACACCATGTACCATTCAGGAGTTGGTCTCACCTCTTTCTTGTCTCCCTGTTACTATGTCCCTGAGCCTTCCTGGTATTTCCTATAATGTGCTCCCATTTTTTCCTTGCCAGTGAAATATTTGTGGAGGTATGTAGAAAAGAAGGCTGTTTTTTCAGTGCTACATGTATAAAAGAATGTCATGAATTCTTTAAAACTCACCCCTTTCCTTGCATCTTTTTTTTTATATTTGTGTTCTCATAGTCCATGATTACTGGAAATATTCTAGAAAACAGCACCAAAGTGTAAATTTATTGCCACGTTTTCTTGTTTTGTTTTTGTTTTAGTCCCAAGTATCACTGTCTCTGACAGCTTAAGGCAACCTTGTCTACCATGCTGTTATAAGGCTTCCCTAATGTCCAGCAGAGGGCATCCTATTCTCACTAAAATCTCAGCGCTCCTTTCCCTCCAGCAATTTAGTTCATGTCGGTTTTTGAAATTCCAGTGTAAGTTGAAATATCTTTATTGCATTTCTTTAGAATCTGTATTTCTGCATTGCACTCTTGTATTGCTGTAATTGCAAAAATTTCCTGGAGAAAATTATGTCCTTAACTAACCAAGGGGTGAATTGTCCATCACAACAGTGACTCTCTGGTCGAGGATTCTCAAGTCAATTCTCAGTTGATTTCAGTTCTGTTTGGCATGACTTTGATGGTGTTCATAGGTAACATAAAATGTGTTTAGTTGAGAG